CCGGGGCGGCGGGACGGCCACCGCATGGAAGGGGCATGGTGGCCGCGGGAGGAGGGGTGGCCCGGTGGAGGGGGGCCGGGCAGTCATAGGGGAGGGGGGAGGGGGCAGGGGCGCAGTGGGGGAGGGGGCGGGGCAGCGGGACGACCGCGGGGTGGCGGGACGACGTGGACCAGGCGGCGGAGGTGCGGTGGCCGGCGGTGGTTTGGGTTGGGTGCGCGCGGGAGGTCGGGGAGGGAGAGAGAGAGGAGGAGGCGGGACGACCGTTACATACTCAATTCTTTGCCGTCCGCCAGCAGACGACAACTATTTTTTGTCGTCCGCTGGCAGAAGGCAAAGAGGTGGGGCTAGTGGGCCGTTAGGATTTGGGCCTCCACTGTACCCCACCCACCTCTTTGCCGTCTGCTAGCGAACGGCAAAAAATCTTTGTCGTCAGCCAGTTCTTTGTCGTTGTTTTTTAGAAGCAGACGGCAAAGGCCTTTTTTGCCGTCCGCTAGCAGACGGCAAAGATCTGACTGATAAAAAATTCTCTGTTTCCCGTAGTGTAACCAGAGAGTCCAATTCTTCCTACGACATCCTTCTTCTATAGGCCAGGCGCCATTGTAGAAGAGATTGAACACATTTTTCCACATCCGAAAGCGTCGGCGAAAATTGTCTGCGAATGAGGTATCAGGGGAAAAGTAGTCGTCCATCCACATCAAATGCCCCGTGTGCCCTGTTCTGATAAAGCACTCAACGGCCCTTGATCGGTCCCTTAAAATTGAGAACATGCTCTTTCGCACGCTTCGCGTCTGCAAGGGACGCCTGCATCATCCGCATAATTCTCGTTGCCAGACGTCTCAACGTAGTTGTCGTGCAGGTACTCCAGGACCGAATCCATTGCTTCAAAGAAGGGAGAAAAACATGACGAAAGATCAACATGACATTCCACCAAACACTTGCAGGGCGAGGTGACGCCAACAGATGGCATCCACAGGGGTGGATGATACCTATGTGGCAGGAGGACATGAGGTGAAATGGTGGCATAGACAAAGCGGTGTGGGACGAGGTGAAACGATGGAGGTCGTGGAGGTTTGGCAAGGTCTTGACAGACGGCCGGGTGGTACAACGTCAGTGTCGGCCAAGGAAAAAGCATATGGAAAGCAAGAAGGAAGGGACGGAGACATGGCCTCGGGTGTGATTTTGGGTGGGTCAAGGATGTCGGAGTCCTACGTAACGGACGACTGATCTCCTGCAAAGGGCCTCTGATTTGTGTCAGGCTCGTGGGATTTTGGACAACCAAACGATTCCACAGACAATACGGCGTCGAATAGCAAACTATCGTCATATCAGCTGGGCCGCAATTGCAATTTAAACCCTGTTTGGATCCCTAAATTAGAGTTAGTTTTAGTTAGTTGGGGCTCAAATAACCCAAACGTATCCAAACATGATGGGTTAGTTTGGGTTAGTTGGATCTAACCCACCCAAAAAATTAGCCCACATTAGAGGAGCTTATTGGGTTAGTTCTCCTGGACCCACTAAAAATTAGTAAAAAAAGTTACCCCTCCCATTCAAACACGGTTCAAAATAGTCAAATGATTGAGAAAGAATATTTATTATCAATCTAACCCTACCATCCAAACAGCTATTTGGTTAGAGTTAGTTTAGGGTTAGTCAAAGTTTAAAATCGCGGGCGAAATCTAAGCGATCGCGCCCTATCGCGGATCTGGAACCACCCCGTGATTTGTTGCCTTCCCAAAATCGTGGGAGATCGCGTCGTTATCACGGGCGATTGCGTGATTCGCTCTCGCCCACGATTCGCTCTTCCTTAACTGTCATGGCAAAAATTCTGGCCGTGATTCGCTCTCGCCCACGATCTTAAACTTTGGGGTAATAGTTAAAATCTAACTCTAATCTTTAACCTCTAACTGAGTTAGAGTATCCAAACAGGGCCGAAGGCTGGCGCGGCTAAACTAAGTGGGCAATCCGCGTGAAAGGCACAGCTGCCCTAGAAAGAGATGCGACGTGGTCTTCCTCTTTGAATTTCAATTCGGCCTCATTCGGTTTGGAGGATTTTCGTAGGAAAAACATAGGAATAAGGATTCCAGAGGAAAATTTCCTATGTATGCATTCGGTTTGTAGGAAATGCGTGCAGGAATTTCGTTGGAATACTACTCATTTCCTGTGTTTTTGGAGGAAACTACACATCCACTCAAAGCTCATTTTACGCGTAGGAACGAGGCAAGTCAATTCCTTAGAATGGCAAGTGTCATCCTATCATATTCCTATACTACTCCTAATTCCTACGTTTTGATTTCCTCCAAACCGAATGAGCCCTTCAAAAGGAAGGATCCGGTTGTCCCTTCCACGCAGCCGCTGCGCGTTGATGTGAAGGCACTCGCAGTACTTGGGCACGCACCCACTGACACTGACGCTGGTTTATTGACATCTAACCCCCCAAACGAAGCGAAGGACGGCCATTCTGCAAGGACGACGACACCGTTATACCGCTTACCACGGAGCTGCTCCTCATCACGTCTCCTTAACGCAATTCCGACAGTCAGATTTGAATCCGTGCACGCTACGAGTGCAGAGCTAGGCGAAATGTGGACACGCCTCACGTGCCCGTCATTCCCCACCCTGCAACAGCAGGACACCCCTCACGTGCATCTCATACGAGAAATAAGAAAGTTTGGCGCCTAGTGCGCCTTTTGTTGTTTAAAAAAATACGAGAAAAGCTACGGCGTCCACATTTTATAATAATATATAATAATACAGCTATACGAGACACATACACGCGAATACGTATAGTACCAAAGTACTCCAGTGTACAGTACCGTAGGAGTAGAGCATACAGTGCAGGAGGCCATGCCTGGCACTGTAGAAAGCAGACACGGGCACACGCGGATTTAAATGGCGGCACTGTGCAGGCTGGGCGAGGCCGAGCACAAGGCATTGGTGAGCGCAGTATCAGCAGCAGTGCTACTCATACATACGTGGCGGCGTCGCAGTCCAACAGAAGAGAGGGCAGTCAGGCAGGAAGGATCCCCCTGTTTATGGCGCGTCCCGATCCCCGGCGGGGCCCGCCCAGCAGTGTCTGAGTCAAGCGTCCGCGCGAGCGAGCGGGTATGTCTGCGGCTGTATTGATATCCACTCCTATAATCTGGCGCTGGCGAGGCAGGGGCAGGGGCAGGGGCACTCCACTGCCGCGCGCTGCCTGTGAATGATGAAAGCAACCCACGCTTTCGGTTCGGAACCCCGGCGGGGCCCGCCCCAGATGCTCTCCCTCGCTCCCCGCGTCGCATTGCGCGGCGCCATGGGATTCGGGTTTGTCCTCGTGCTTGGGGTTGGGCCATGGGACAGAGAGAGAACTGAGCACTAAAGATACTCTCCTTTTTTGCTCAAACTAAAGTGGCAATGTTTCATCGCACAAATACGTACACTAAATAAATAGCGGCAATATCATCTGGCACTGTAATATCATGTGCCTAAGAACAAGTACAATAAAGTGACATGGCAGGCTATAAAAATTAAAATATTATATCTTTACTTAGTTGGAGGAGAGGAGGAAAGCGGGATGTATAATAAGAGCCGCTTGTAACACAAGACCTAAGACATTTTGTGAGATTGTAAATGTGGGCCAGCTGTCAGTAAATCTCCGCTCCTAAATACAAAATGTTTTGGCGGTTTAATTTAAACTATCAAAACATCTTATATTTAGAAACTTATATTTAGGAAAAGAGGAAGTAAGTACATATTTAAAGCTTACTATTGTACAAGCCGACTACTCCCTCCGTCTCAAAGGAGTATAAAAGCGTTTTTGACACTATAAACACTCTAATATTATGGGACAGAGGGAGTATTATGTTGGCTCTAAATGACATGACAATTCCTTATAGTCGACTGTTGGTTGTATTATTAACCATGCTCTTATTGCGGTTTTCTTTTACAGACATGCTCTTATTGTGTTGGCAGATGCTAGCATACCACATGGTGGTGTTTAAAAGCGCAAAAAATAAATAAATAGGCAGTGTTTGCACAGCAACCAGGTCCAGGTGCGCCCATAAAAACAAGCATCCAGGACTTTACTTCAGGCAGCAAGAGCCATGAAAATATTGATATCGGCCGTGTACTCAATGCAGGCAACCACATTATCGTGCAGGTGCAGCCCCACCACATCAGCTCCAGCCTCCGAACCCATCAAACCCATCAGCGCCACGGCGACAATTCGATCTCGCTGCCCACAACACATGAGCGAGCTAACACTAATCACATTTCAGGTAAAAAAAGAAAAACATCTCCTAGCATAACGTACTGAAGAAAAAAGGACAAACAAACCAGAATCCTCATTTATACCCCTTCAAAGATGAACAAGTTTACGCACCAATGTCTCATCATCAACTACTTCGTCTAAGAATGTATCGATAAATTGTACCCCAACGAATTTCTACCCAAAAGAGCACGGGAGGCCGTCCAAATTGGCCAACCAAGTATGTACACTTTTACACCCAGTCCAGCTACAACACATTTCAGGGTGATCGCCGACTCACCGCAATTGCGCCACCAATGCTTGTTCAGGATGCGGCGGCGATGGTGATACCCGACGGGCATCTCGTCCTGCGACACCGCCTCGTCGTTCTTCCCCACCCGATCATGCCAATGTTGCTTTCACCTTCTATGCCCGCGTCGTCAGGTTTCGCGGGCGGGCTCACCTGGACCTCTTCTTCTACGCTGACCTGGACCTCCTCTTCTACGGCGTCCAGCACCCTTTTCTTGGGTTTCTTGTTACCCCTCGTACGCCTTCGCCTAGTTAAGCTCGACTCCCAGGATCCACCAGTCGTCTGAACCAGCCCCTCCAGGAGCTGAATGTCTTCGATGATCTCAGGCCGGCACAGCGACGAGATGCTAGGCAGGATGTCTTTCTGGAAGTCACGCTTCTGCCGACGCTTCCTTTGCTGGCCTCTCTTCAGCTTCATCAGGAGGTTCACCGGTGAGACAGTATGCTCATCACTTGTTGTTATCGCGGGCGCCGGTGGCCTGCTGCACAACTCATCAGTCTTGATGTCTTCAAGCTTCAGTGTCAGCGATTCGAATGAATCTGGATCATCATCACTAGAATTATTGGCACAGCCTTGGACCTCCCCTTGCCCGGCATGGTAGTCGGTGCTTGATATGGCGATCTCTGCAAACCACTGCAACATATCATCAGGTGTCTCTGCAGTGGCTGGCACATCCCTCGACAACGCAAGAATGCTCTCTGCTGCAGCTGTAGCAGCATCATCATCTTCGCAAGCTGGCACTTCTAAATCAATCAGAAACTTAGGCTTTGCATGGTTGTTCTGTAAGGATGTCACATGGCAATCACTTGACACTACAGATGACTCTGAGTTATCTTCATTTGGTGCATCTTCATTCAGATCAATAAAATTCCAGACGGCAGCACCACTCTTATTGGTGACACCCTCAGCAGCTTGCCCATCTCTAGGCATGGGTTTCTGGCATGAAAGGGGTAAACATGCAGCACTCTCTTGAGTTCTAGCGCCGATCTTGTCACAAGACCTATCCTTCTTAGTTCCACAACCTACAGACGTCGAAGCAGAATCTGGCAAATTGCATAGAGCCAGAGCTGCTCCCGTTATATCTTCATTAATGTTAATCAGCGCTGCAGTCCCATAAGAATGTTCAGACACCTTCCTTGGCTCCTCCAAACCTGTGGAATCAGCACATGAAGCTTTCTTACTGAGCCAAGAAATCCCAGATACTGATCCCTCAACTTTGATATGCTGTAAACCACCTACACACACCCCTTCTTGCTCTACAACGATATCTTCTTGACCATCAGACAATGCTTCATTCAAATTAAAGTTCTTTCTGCCCTTGCCATTTGCAAAATCAGGATCTTCATGACAGTGCCGTGTTGGGTGTCCAAACATCAGCTTGTTGTTTTGCTCCAAGTCACTTGGAATTCTTGTCTGATGCCGTGGTTGTGATGCAGACAATGAATCAAGTGGAACGTCAGAATAGCTGCCATCTGAGTTATTGATTTTTTTCAGATTACATGATGAGGTTCCAATGCTTTGGTTCGCAGCAGTGAAGCATGCATATGAATTGACAGTTGAAGATCCATTGAAACTTGGAAATGACTGGACATCAGCACTGATGTTATAGCTCCTTGGGTCTACTATGCAAGAACCAACACGAGAGGCAGCAGAAGGTTGGTCCATGTGCAGAGAAGTGACTGGAGCAACAAGTGTGCTACTTGTATAGCGTAGATGGTCATGTCCAGGAAGATTATTGATAGCATAGGCTTCCAAAGGACTTCCTGAAAACCATCCGGGTGAACTATTCGGACATTGGTAAATAAACTTGTTACTGCTTGCAGATCCCCTGTCAGCAGCACTGAACATTTTTTGTGGATCCATGCCACTGCATCTGGGTGCAAGAAAACCTGTGCTGCTGGCACGTTTCCCTGAAGAATTGGAACAAAATAGAATGATTATTACAATGGATCAAGTCAACTGTAAGTACCTAGCAATAAAATAGAATGCAGCACAATAATAAACAGTATGGTACACCCACCACCCAGAAAAGACATAAACTGCACTTAAACACATAACACACACATCAGTACTTCACTTTAGATTATTACAGACCAACAGATTGATTCTGTACAATAGTTACAAAACTAATCTGCAACAAAACATAAACCAAGATTATAATGGTACGTCACGCCTTACAGGACACAACACTTATCCATTGGTAACCCCCCACCCACACACACACAAACTCAAAGGCTATGAAAGGGTTCGTGGCTTCACACCACAATTAAGTGCAGCACCAAAAAAAGAAAGAGAATTCAAAAGAATGCGCGGGAAACCTGATGGTCAAACATGCATAGTTAAGTAAATGTAGTTCTGCATGTAACAAATAAAATTAGCACGCACTATTGGGCTAGTTCAAATATATTATCAACTATAGTTAGTATGAATATTGTAAATTCACTTCACCCTACAGGCCTACATGTTATGTTACGTGGCAGCCCCATTTCTTTCAAATTTTCAGCGAACCCGTACCCATAGTGTTGAGTTGATTTGTGGTCCACTAATATGGTAAATATGCCAAGATATTCACAATGCAAATATAGAAAGAACTAGCATAACCAGAAAAAAAAATACTAAAGCACAATGGAGCTAACTGTTTACCTTTGTCGATCAGTGGTTTCTCCTCCTGTTTTATCCTGGAACTTGCATCAAAGAAATTAGAGCTTGTGGCTTCATTAATACGCTTGTCCTTGGAATATTCTTTATTGAAACTGCAGTTAGTTGTGCTTGATCTCCATGGAGACTGCTGCCAAGAGTTCTCCAGGGCATATGAAGGACCTCCCGATACTGTCCCATTTGTTCTGGCCATATATGGGCCCAGAGTTGGCTTATTCAGGTCAGCAACATTGTGATTGTGGCCTACAAGATTACCTGTACTCGGCGGAAAGGAGGTTGCACTATTATGACCGAACCTCCCCAAGCCTTCCGCCCTAGCTAATGCGACACCGGCATCATTCGGATGTTTTGTATCCGATGATACACCAAGGAAATCTATAGGCTTACTGTCCGATGCATGGTCATCTTCAAAACAATGATCAGCTCGGAGCTCAAGGTCAAACCTAAACCTGCCTTGTTTGGTGGGTAGAGCAGCATCACTTGAGGGAAATCCATTTGGCGAGGACTGGACACTGCCCTCCCTGGGGAACTTGGACGACTGGCTTTTCTCATTGTTCACAGCAGCAGCACCAATCATGTTTGCACCATGCAGTGGAATTTGTGACGGTGAATCTCTGTGCGATGCATCTTCCAGTGTTGAGCATGCATGCATTTCTCTGCTCTGATGCTGCTTCATCAGGTCTCTCTGTACTCTGTAAACCCGATGCAATTCGTACACCTGGAGACAGCAAGAGGGTTGTTGTCAAGCCAAGCCAAGAAATACAGAAGATATCAAGGGGGAACTGAAATCATCTCTAAGTGTTGCCGCATCGACGTTTACGTCATCGCGGACGCGCACCTGCTGTCTAAACACAGCTTCATGCGCCAGCATTGTGCGCCTGAACATCTCTTTATCATACTCCGAATAACCGACCGCCTCCGCCGTCACGAAGCCATTTGATGTCTCCTCCTCGTATGGAAACCTCCAGCCATTCGCGCTTGCGTGGAGATCCCCCATGGCGCAATGCCCAGGATTGTAGCCTTCAACCTCCACCTTTGCCCCCATTGCTGTTCCAACCTGCTCAACAGGACATTGAATCAAAGGTGAATTACATTACATTACACACATAAAGCAGCAGAAGAAGAAAGAAATGATAACGCCTTTGTCCAGAACCAGCGTCAGTTACGCGAAAAGACAAACACGCATTATTCATCGCTTTGACAAACAAAGAGCAGAAGAAAAGGCGATGACTGATGAGCGACCGGCCCTTTTTTCCTGGTATAAAGTGAGCAATGATGGTGGTCGAGCCTACACGCAGAGGATGACGAAAAGCTCAAGCGAACTGATCATGCAGATTTATTCGTTGGCAAGTGGTGATAATTCAGGGATAATTGGCAGATTTTAAGCGGATATTATCCCAAGAAACAAGGGAAATAATAATAATAAAGAGAAATAAAGGAGATATTATTATCCCCTGGCTGTTTGGACGTCAACTTGTAGGGAAGGGGGGAAAGAATAAAGGAGACGAGACAAGTCAACCCTCCACAGTCCAGCCATGTCGATTCTAGTACCAAATCCTAGTAGTACTACCAAGAACCGATTCATTCACGAGAAGTACTGTACAAATCATCAGCGGCAGCAGCAGACGCGGATTACGAAGAAAAAGACTAACAATACTGGACAGATGCAATCATCGCTCAACCGCTCGCCGCCGGCGTGTCCGACAGAGGAAATTTCTTCGAGACAAGAAGCAAATCGAAGGGCGACTCAATTACGAGAAGGGAGACCTTTTCTCCACGAGATTTTTACCAAAACAGGCAACGGAGGAAGCCATTAAAGACCCGGGAAATGGACGGCAAAGATGGCATCTTTCCTGCAACAACCCAAGCCGAAATTAACTCGAGACTTTACCTCGGCCTCAGAGATTCTTCCTGGCACCGAACCGCGGCAGACAGGAACCGGCGGCCCGCCGAGCTGCGAGCATGGGCCGGAGACGCGGGGAGCACGGCGGGCTCTCCTCCCACTCCCCGGACTCCCACCGCGCAAGAACCCAGGAGGAGGAGGAGGAAGCGGCGAGCAATGAAGGAATTCTCCGGCGGATTCCACGACGGAGACGCTCGGAATCGCGGCGTATCTGGGCGGGGCGGGACCCGGATTGGATGGGCCAGGGAGGGAGGGAGGAGGGGGAGAAGGGTCGGAACTGGTGGGTTCTTGTCTTGGGCGAACCCCCGGACGGACCGAATGGCTGCGCTCTGCACTCCTCTCCTCTTCTTCCCCTGATATATTTGCTTTTGGATGGATCGGAATCGGATGGGCTTTGTTGTGTTCGGTCCGGTCATGTGCGCGCTGCCATGCGGGCCCGACCCCCCCTCTCTCTGGATGGATGGAAATATGGAATGGAACCACCTTCTTCTCCCCTCTAAACTAGTGCAAAGGACAGCAGATTTGTTGACATCTCGGTTGGTCTTTCTCTTTTATTCCCCCTCTCTCTCTCTCTCCTCGTGATGCTGCTTCCTTCATCCCACCTAATCTCTCTCCCTCCCTCTCTCTCCTATCAAAAATATACACTATCTTTCTCTCTCATCTCAGAAAAAGATCTCTCTGTCTCTGTCCCTCTCTCTCTCTCGCACTTGCAGTTGCAGTCGAGATGCTCCGGGCTTTTTTTCTCCCTTGCGGCAGAGGGGCGATGTCTCTTTCGGACAAGTGCTTGGGTGCGATCTCGGTTGTCAGGTTATGGAGTGCTTGTTACTCCATTAAGCATTAATTAAGAATCTCGTCTCGTCTCGTCTCTCTAAGATAAGAAGATATGGATCGGGGCCGTGAGAGGGAGGGCGTCTGACACCCCGGCATGCTTCAAGTACTACTACTAGTGTCAAGTTGAATAAGTAGGAGCAGCCAGGCAGTACTCCCAAAACTGCTTTGGTTTCCAGATTTATGGCACGAATCCTCGCAATTGGCCACACCACGGTGATTGATTTCTACTGTTATCTGAGTAACTATAGTGAATACTCCCACTCACTCACTCACTGCGGAACAATCCCGGGATGCGACGGGACGAGTTGCTGTGGGCGCCCACGGTGGTGGAGCACGGTACGGACTACGGTATTCATTCATTGATTCGTGCACATACTTCTGGGGGTACGTACATTGGTTGTTGTGCGAGCCGAGCCGTTCCAACCGAATTGAATGTGGCCGTAGGTTGAATAAGACCATACAAGTGGCCAGTGCCAGATGACCGTCGCCGGCAACGCAGCGGAGCAGAGCAGACCGCTGCTACTGCTACTGTTGTTGACACGGTGCTGCTGCTGGTGCTAGTACTACCGTAAAGCAGAGCACGGGGATCGTCGGCACAATTTTTCTACTCCTACCATTACTAGTAGTAGTGGTCAGAGGTTTGGAGTTTGAACAAGTCGTCCTGGCGTGGAATCGGGCAGTTCCGATTTGCAGACCGTGCCTCCGTTGTTTTGTGCCCAAGCACAGGCTGGATTTGTTAATTTCGGACGAAGAAAAGTATGCGGTGCTGTGTACGTACTGTGTCGGGTGTGGACTGTGGAGAGAGTTAAGCATTGGCGGGGCGGATCCCCCGTTTGTCTATGGAGCTCCTGCTCCTGCTCCTGGTCCGAGGCGGGTGCCAGCCAGGGAGCGGCGTCATGTACGTACTTGTGTGTGTGTGTGTGGGCGTGACGGGGGAGGACGTCCCGCGATCTACTGCCGGAGTGGGGACCCTTTTACTGTCAAAGCACTAGTATCCAACTGCTCGACTGGATCCGAGGTGACAATAAAGACGTATAGTACTAGATTGCCCCCACAAAGTGTTTATATACGTTAAACAAAATTGCACTTGCATTCACCTCCAAAACGATCACAAGGTTTCAACTTTATTTTTGGTTCAAGGCAGGAGCGTTGAATATATGGTTGTGCATGTATATTGTATAGTCCGGCCCACCTTCTAGTCATTGTATAATTGAGATTGTGGCCCACCTTATACTCCATATATACGTGCGCTATGCATCGATCAATGCATCGAGTTGCATTGCCAAAATATTCGTTTCCAACATGGTATCAGAGCTACGATCCCCCAGTGTGCCGCCGCCGCCTCGCGCTTCCGCCCGCAACCCGCCATGGCCTCCCCCGATTTCATCGGTACCACCCGCAGCCGCCGCACCAACCCCTTCGACGGCCCCAATCCCGTCGTCATCCGTGATCTCAATATCCTCGCTCGGGTTCCCGTCGTCCTCGATCAACTCACCTCCACCAACTATGCCTGGAAGATGTACTTCTTCCTTGTGTTTCGTGAGTACAATCTCCGGGATCACATCGATGGCTCCGTGGACTCCCGCTTCATGGAGGACGATGAGGAGTGGACGTCCATCGACGCCACTCTTATCCGCTGGTTCTACACCACCATCTCGAAGGACCTCTTTCACACGGTGGTCTCTGCCGATGATGACGCTCACACCGTTTGGATTAAGCTCAACGGCCTCTTCACCGACAACGCGCTTCAACGCAAGGTTTTCTTGAGTGCTAGCAGCTTGACTCGTCGGTCGACGATTATTGCATGCGCCTCAAGAAGCTTGTCAACGAGCTCCGTGACCTCGGCGAGAAGGTCTCCGACGAGCTCCTCCTCAGCACTCTCATCGCCGGCCTGAACGAAGACTTCGGGAACGCCGCCTCCAACATCCCTCTCATCACCAACCCGACCTTCCCCAAGACCGTCGCGTACCTGAAGCTGGAGGAGAAGAGGATGCGGATGTCGCGCGCCCGGGCCACCCATACGGCTCTCACCGCCGGAACCCACGCCGGTGCGCCGCCCACCGCTCCGGCTCCCCCGCCGCGGCCCGCCCAGGGGGCCCTCCACGTGCAGCCGCCGCCCGGGTTCCCATATCCCGCGCCGCCGCAGGCCCCTCCATCGCCCCCCGCCGCGCAGCAGCAGCGTCGGGGCGGGCGTCGCGGCCGAGGTGGCCGCAAGCAGCAGCAGCAGCCGCCAGCTGCCCATGGCGGGGCGCCACGCCAGCCGCAGCACCCGCTCCCGCCAGCGCCCTTGCAGGCCGGCCAGAAACCCCTGGACGGGGGTTGTTCACGCATACTCCATGCCCATACCGCGCGTCCCCGTCCCCGGTGTTTTTGGCGCCCGCCCGGTCCCTCATCAGGCTCTGTACGCGGCCCCTCGGGCGTATCCGCCGGCGCCGCTCTACGGACCCTCGGCGGCCTATGGGTTGCCTCCGGCCGGTGGGCTAGTGGCGCCGCCGCCAGAGCCTTTACCGTCGGCCCCGGCCCTCCCGCCGGCACCATGGGACCCCGCGCTGCTAGCGGCCCTCCACACCGCCCCCACGCCACAGCAGTACACCGGCGGTGGCGACTAGTACATGGACACTGGAGCCAAGACTCACATGGCCGCCAACCCCGGTGACCTTCTTACCACTCATCGTGTTCACACTGCTACTCGCATTACCGTGGGCGACGGTTCTTTCATGCCCATCACTCATGTCAGTCATACTGTTTTTCCTTCTAATTCCGTTCCATTACATCTTTCTAACGTACTCGTTTCACCTGACATCATTAAAAATTTTGTTTCTGTTCGTTCTCTTACACGTGAAAATCATGTCACCGTTGAATTTGACATGTTTGACTTTTCTGTTAAGGATGCCCGTACCCGGGTGGTGCTCCACCGATGTGACAGCCCCGACGATCTCTACCCGGTCCACTCCTCCACATCCTTCGTCGCTGCACCCATGGCGCTTTCCGCTGGAGTGGACCTTTGGCATGCTCATCTTGGTCATCTAACCCTGCCACCCTTCGTTATATTCTTCGCAGTTTTTCATTCACGTGTAATAAGATCGATGATCACACTTGTCATGCTTGTCGTCTCGGCAAACATACTCGTTTACCCTTTAGCACTTTCTCGCATGTTGCTTCATACCCATTTGAGTTAATTCATAGTGATGTTTGGACCTCTTCTGTTGCAAGTAACACGGGCTATCTCTATTATCTTGTTATCCTTGATGATTTTTCGCACTATGTGTGGACCTTCCCGTTGCGGCGAAAGTCGGATTCTGTTGCCACTC